TTTCGACAACGGCGAGCTCAATGAACTGCGACGAGAGCGGCGAATACGGTGACGACTACAACGAAAAGGAGTATAAGCGTCATGATGCGCCGGTGACTGAAGTTCTATTAGTGAACGAAGAGTCGTGCTACGAGCGACCCTCTGGGTGTTTCGTGTACCACTGGTAACAAATGGGTGGTAACTTACATGTTATTATAATAACAATTTTCGGCCATCCGGGGAATGTCGATGGTTTCTTTCGTAAGATCAATATAACGCAATCTAATTCTAGGTATGTTCGGCGCACAATTGCATCCTTCACTCAGTGCTATAGATTTAAGGCGTTTACCCACCTGGAGTAGCCTTCTTGTACGAATCCGCGTAATTCAGCCAAAACTTGTAGGTGACCATAATGCCAGATTTAGGACTCCACCGATATGCTTTGTCTTTCAGGGATTGATATTCGTAGCCATCATTTCCTGTGCAATCTTTTCTGTGTACACATATGATGCTTGGGTGTTGTAACGGGGTACGTAGCCCTAAGTGTACCCTGGTTACATGAAGTGTGACACTTCACACTTCAGGAGTATGACACGTCATACTCCGAGATATTTGGTACAAGGTACCAAGGTCGTTCAAAGCCAACCATTGGTTAAATGACATTGCATTTCTATAGGTAACTAACAGTTTGTATTAAACCCAAACTTAATCTACCTATAAATATACTCAGTTTACAATCTACCTTATTTGGGTCACTTCGCTCTCTTTAATAAAAGAGGGGACCTGTGAACTGCCGTTCACTGAGAGTTTGTATACTCTCAGAAGATAACTTCCTCTTGCGCAAGGTGCTGTGTGACCCCGTCACACTTGGTAGCACTTGTAGTCAATCCACGTAGACTACCTGAACCTCCGAAGTTCGTTGCCATGGATAGGAACGACTTCTCCCATTTGAACGACTCTCAGTTCGAGTCGGTTCGGAAGATGGCAGGCATCTTCGGGATGGAGGCCCTGCAGAACCTGGTGGTGTCAACACCGGCTGAGCAGCTCGAGCGCGTCAATGCATTCGACGCGTACGAGCAGGGCCTCATCGCGCATGTGCGGGAGAACCTGCAGGCTCCGGCGGCGGAAGCAAATCCGCCTCACCCGAAGCCAATACGGCTGAAGGTAAAGCCGTATGAAGGGAAGGAAGGCGAGAACCTTCACTTCTGGGTCCGAGAAGTAGAGCTCGCGATGGACGCGGCTCTGATCTCGACCGAGCAACTGCGTGTTGCTTTTGCACTCTCCAACCTTAGCGGTCGTGCTAAGAGTTGGGTGTACACTCGGGAAGCAACATCCCCTGGATGTTTCACATCCTGGGCTCAGCTGTGCGAACAGCTCCGAGCCGCGTTCCTCCCGGCGAACTACGAGTACCGCCAGCGTTCGCGCTTCCTCGCGTGTAAACAAGGAAGGCGCGAACTGCACGAGTATGTGCAAGAGATACGGGAGCTCACGGCGTCCCTAGTGGGAATCCCACTCAATGAACACATCAAGATGACTGTGTTCATGGACGGCCTTCGAGTGGCCCCGCACGCACTCAGCTGTCCG